AATCGGAAGAAATAGGAAAAAGGCACATTAGCCCCCTATTTGGCGTGATTGACAGCTTTTTCTGGGGCAAAGTATTCTGCAAAAAGGCATTGAAAGAAATACTACGATTAAAAATTGTAGAATTTGAGTCAGCGATTATTGTGCTTTGGTCTGCTTTAAGCTTACAATTCAGCCCTCATGGTTAGAATCCGTGGAATTTTGTAAAACCCTTCTGAAGAATGCAATGTCCCAGTTGTTCTATCGTTTTAAAAGACGGTTTACTTTTGTGTCAATTTATACTAGAGTAAAAGAGTTTCTGCTTATGTCACAGTACAAGAAGAAACCAATAGCGTATTGTATGGCAACATTAGGCCTCGGCTAAGGTTCCCGGCGCGGTGGACAGCTCCGTGACTAATGTGATTATGTTGCAATCATCAAGCCTGTTGTCGTTATATTGTGATTAAACAGCTGTCACAATGCCTCTGTAGTCAGTCTGAAATATAACTTCGTTGCCTGTTGAACTCTGCATTATTTAACTTACAACAAAGCCAAAGCCAGTTCATGCGTTAGAAATAGGTGGTATAGAGATTTCACACACATGTACTCACGAATGCACTGATTTCTGTAATGATACAACAACATTTGATGTCATTTTACTATGACATCATGTTACTTATTAGTAACTGAGTTACAAACTGTTGTTTTTACAATTGATGGAACTACAAAAATTTATTTGTGTGAACCTCTTTATGAGTTTGAGCGAGATGAAAAGAATAATCCAATCCGCACGCATTCTGCTTCCAACCCCATTCTTCCCCCTGCACCTGGAATGATCAAGGTGGCACAAGGAAAGGGCGAGGGAAGCACCGGCGCCGAGGGGGTATGCACTCGCGTAATAGTCGGTTCACTCTATCTGTAATAGCTTGCGTAATACTACGCGTAATAGCCGAAATTGTCAAAATTTTATCAATTTTGGTGTGTTTTTGGCCGTACCTAACCTACCCCCCTCGACCGGCGCAGATTTTGACGTCAGGAGTACGGCGAGCGCGGGGCCCAGGCGATGACGTCACGCGGGCAAGTGAGCAATGTGGCGACACCGGCTTCTACCGCCCTGACACTAAATTCTTGTGGACTTTTTTATGCATAGTTATGCATGCTCAGAAACGTTCATATGTTATGCATAATATTATGCATCACTGTGTACATTTTATGCAGGAAGATGCATAAATGTACACAGGATGCATAATTTTATACATAACATATGGACGATTCTGAGCATGCATAACTATGCATAAAAAATGCGTTTTATGCATTTAAAAAGTCCATAAGAATTTAGTGTGCTCGAATATGCCTAGAATTTGTCGATTTTTTTTCTCGTTTATGGGCAACACTGTTCCGGCAAACAAACGACAAACTATCAACTTTTTTCGTCACATTATTTCCCCTGCCGGACTCCGGCGATGGATAAAGGACTTATTTTGTGTATTGACGGGGAGTCGTTTTTGCGAATACTCCGTGCCATTTTCGTTCAGGTAGTGTAGCCTTCTCCCGAAAGATGGCACTACAGTCAGTTACTTCCAAAAAATAAAAGGGTCCTAGTTCTGGGTGGAAATCCCTATACCTGCCGTGCACTCTGGCCGGTGACGGACAGCGCGGTGCGTTTTGGCAGTGTCGATGGCCAGACAGTGCGGCGACAGTGGGGCCCCCTGGAAAAAGTATCAAAAGGGGGACTGGAACCCCGGAAAGGGTTTTGGTTGTGTTTCAGCGAGGCAAGCCTCGGAGGGTCGCCCCTACCATAATCGTCCCTCCGCGCCGCCACAGATAGATGGATAGATGGTCCGACCCGAAGGCGTCTTCGGGGTCCCCTGGCTCGCCTTCGGAGGCTCCTTCGGCTACGCGGCCGGCGGCTGCCTGGAGCGGTCGGACCGAAGACGCCCAACCGGACCCGAAGTAGAGCCGATTGGTCGGACCTGTGTCAGGCTCGTCTTGAGAAGGGTCGGGCGGGCCATTGACAATGGTGCATGCAGTCGGGCCTGGGCACGCTGAGACAGCCCTCGCAGCCAGCCCCCCTTTAGATACTTTGTCCAGGTGCGGCGGGGCCCGGTGCACCCCGGGGCCGCGCCGTGCGCTCGAACAGATGTCATTGTCCGTCTCGTCTCACCCGCGCAGTGCAAGCGAGAGGGCCCGAGGCGAGGCATGGAGGGGGAAGCAGCGGCCGACTGGCGAGGCGCGCGGCTCACTGTGGAGCCCATGCGCTCCATTTTCCCAAAATTTGAATGTTGCAACTGAGTGGTGGCGGTTGGGTACCAAAAATTTTCCTTTTTCTTTTACGATCATTTTGACACCAGTTCCACTCGATTTGAAATCGGGGATAAAATTTCTCCTACGGCCTTCAGTCCTCTTATCAGACTCTGACTCTGAGGACGCACCCCTTTCCCCTCGCGTCGTCCTTCTCGCCAAATTGTGGCCAGCGTGACGCGTTCAAGTCGCAAGGGACTCGTTGGTGGACTGGCTGGATCGGAGTCCGAGCAGGCCCGGCACCTCAGCCGCGCGCTCCAGGTCAGTCTGCAGCTCCGGCTTACCGCGGGGGGAGAGGGGGAGGGGGAAGGCGGCGAAGACAATCCCCGGCTGCAGGCGAGCTGTCTGTCATAAATGTGTCGCGCCGCCCGGCCGGCCTGCACCGAGTTCGGATACCTGCCACTGCGCCACGTCCAGAGCCTCGCCAAACGACCGCCAACTTCAAAATGGGTTAAAGGGGGGGGAAAACAGTGCTTTACTTGTGCAACTCACCCTCAACAAGCTAGGGCCCGCCCTTCCGTCGAACCGAGTTGCCAGCTCCGCTTCGCTGCGCGGCAACTCGGTTCGACAGGGGGCCAGCCCAGCTTGGCCTGCCGGCGGCCTTTTCTCGGGCCTTCGGCCCTCGCATCAGACCCAACTTAGCCAGTCGAAGGCCCGGGCCTTCGGCCCGCTCGCATCACACACACAGTGAGCGGGTAAAGCAAAGTTATCGATGTACCATCGTGACTTAGGCCAGCCCTTCTATTCACATTATGCAATAGTCCTTACA